TCTTCACACTCACTCAACCCTATCTTACATTGCAAATTTGCAGTTACTCCGCAACAACATAACACTTTCTGCAGCCATAGCTAGGCTTAGATCTTCCCCTGAAGAGAAAATCAATTTTCTCCCTAGATTTTGCAGGTATGTACTTAGCTTCTTTTTTTTTTTCCTTTTCTTTTTTCTTTCTTCCCCAGGTCCCTCCTTTCAAAGCTTTTTCTAGCCAAAATTCTTGTTTTCATGAACAAGTTTTCTGTAGCTTATTATTCTCAGGCAAAAAGAAAAAAAACTCATAGCTCTCATTTTTTCTTTGTTTTCTTTCTATTTCTTTCCAGTTAAAAAACTACCCTTTGCAGGGTAAAACAATCCCAAGAAGAAACTAGATTTGGTTGTCGTTAATTTATTGTTGTATATTGTTCTTCTTCATACTTCACCTTTAGCCATTATTTACTGTAATCTTCTCTTTTAGATCTCCATTAGTCCGTCTCCATCATTATCTGAATGCAAATATATGAATTTTGTATATATGTCTTCCCTAGTTATGAAGTTGTTGTCTAAGTTCTTGTCTCATGCTCAATACTTTTGTCTACGTGAAACTATTCAATTTTATGCTAGCTGAAATTTTTTTTGTTTGTTTATCTTCCATAGCGTACAACATAGATGCATCTAATACAAGTACTTTATCTACTTAAGCATATGATTTAATTGATGATTTTTAAAGCAATTGATGATGTCTAGGTCTTTGAAAAAGCATCTACAGTAATAATTGTCGCATTTAACACCATCTTGCATAAGAACATAACAAGAAACTCTCATGCAATTGGTAGTCAGAGAGGCGTTTAACTCGTGTTGTTTTGCTTTACTATGATGATTGATGAGCTCCGTGCAGATGCATCTGAATTCTGACTTGCCTGAAATGTCTCAGACAAATGGCTCCAAGGACCTTGGCTTTAGAAGCTAAGTATTATAACTAGATATTAATTTTAATTAGGGATAGGTAGTATTTTTTATCATTAGCTTATCTATTACTAGTAGTAGCTAAGTTTATTCAAGCACTTAATACTTATTAAGATTAGAACTGGTATTTATAGTATATAATCAAGTTGTCCTAATTCACATGCCACATTTTCATGTGAATATCACTCTTTTAAAGTGGGAAAGAAAATGATAGACTTGGATTGGCTAGCCCAATAGCTGTCTTTCCTGGAGTATTATTGGTTAAAATTTAGGCATCCAACAAGGGCAACAAGCTATTGTGTAATACTTAGCACATGGATTTGAGCATAATTTGATGGACACTTTTATTGTCATTTCTCCACGAATTCTGATGTTGGGATAAGTTTTTCCAAATATTGTTAATTCTTTTCATTCTTTATAGCTATGGTGAGTATTGCTTTTTTAAAAACATGGACTAGTATGAAATTAATAGTTAAGTATTTGGTTATTGTTTCATGTGGATTCAACAATTTTTTTTCCTTGAGAGCTAAAAAATCTGTTATCTGAAATTGAAAGTTTGCAAGTTCTATATTGCAATTAGAACTTGTAAATTTTTTTGTTGTTTCCTTCTCACCTAGTGCCCTACATCTGTAGTTCTATATCATCTATTGAAGTTATGAACATTTTAGAGGTTTTTGCCTAATAATATACATAGACTAATTCCGGGACTAAAAGAATCCTGCTCATGTCCTTTTGTTTTTGTTTTTTGTTTTTTGCTTTTGGCATAGCTAAAAGAAATTAAGAATATAAGATGGATACGCCCAATCAAGAGCAGTCTTCACCAATTATTAGATCAGTTGGTGATTTTGCTAGTCCGGTGAATATCATTGACAAAGGTATTGCTGTTAACGTTGACAAAAAGTTGGAATTCTCTCTTGGAGATGAAGAATTAGGGAGTGAAGATGAAGCCATTAGAAGGTGATACACATACAACGACTTAAACAACCAATCAAGAGGCTGCTGCAGATGATGGCTTGGACATTTTTTGGAAAAAAAAAGAGGATTAAAAAATCAGTAGCATGGGATGACTTCAAAGATGTTGAAATTGGCCCTCAAAAAACTCTTATGTCGGAGTGTATTCATTACCATGCAAAATTCAAGAAGACGAAAACTAGTACGACTTCAAGTTTACTAAGGCATAGGAAGACAATTAATGGAGAAAACTCTAGCCAAAATTACACTTTAGAGATGGTTCATGTAACAAATCATTGATGCAGTTATAATTCCAACATTCTTTAACAAACAAGTTTTTAACTGCTGATATAATCTGACAGTCAGTTTCTCTTTACTGTTCGATGATTAAGGTACGACCATTGACTATTACCCTAATTTAGAAATAATCCTAGGTACCACCATAGGATTTAATTCCTCAATTGCATTAGAAACTAGAGAAACCCTGTTCTAATCAATAAACATGCTACGAGAGTTTATTTAAATTAGATTGTACGTTTCCCCGACACAAACCCAATTATACTAGTTGCTACCAGGATTATAATAGTCAAACAATTACGGATTCAACTATTCCAGTTAGCAAATAGATTGCGTGTATAATTAAATATTGTGCACCTATTGAATCACACACACTAATCATACTCTATAAAGCAGAAAACGTACAAATACCAAAGAATAGATGAGATAAATAAAATCAATTAGATCTTACAGTGATAGCTGAACCAAATCCTCAGTGTTCCTTGACTAGCAATATGAAATTAGTTCTCCATTAATGGAGAACAAGCCATGCCAAAAAAATCTGTTCAAAGCTTTCAATTGTCCTCTGAGGATGCTCACCTCGGCCATCCCGAGTGGCCGAGGTGAACTCACCTCGTCCCTCATCAGAGCTCATCCGTGTCCCGGGCATCATCCCTGAGCTCAACCAGGTCCCTAGTCTACCGTGTAGCCGACCTCGGCACCCCCACCTTAGCTGCACGCTGATGATGTCAAGCCACCTGACATCACCCAGGACCAGTGCTTTATCTGAAAAGCACTGGAGGCACTTAATGGCACCTGCACAATACTCCCCGTCATCATGCTCAGGCAGCTACAGTGTCAGAGTCAGACCTCCTGACACGGGACAGAGCCGTAATGACCAGAGGGTGGGTCCCACCAGCATAAGCCCTCCGCTCTGTCCTCTACTCTCCCTCTATAAATACCCCAGACACACTCCCAACAAGTAAGCCTACACTGTTCATTAACTCATATTCTCATTATTCTCGTTCTCATACTAACTTGATCGTCGGAGTGATCCCAGGGGAGAAGCCCCGCCACTCACTTCGGACAAGGAGGTTCACTTCGGACACAGGAGTTCACCTCACTTCTTCTCAGAGAGGACTGATCCAGGTCGGTCTAGTTACCAACCAAAAATCACCTCTTCAATTGGCGCCGTCTGTGGGAACGAGACTACTATTACTAAAATGAGATCCACGCGCTCCAGAAGTGGTCGAGTTCCCTCAACTGGGGCTGGGCAGACCTCGGGAGCCCAGCAAGATCGCATTTCTGAAGGGCAAGGGTCCCCGAGGACCCAGCCTAACAACGAGGAGGCCATCGCCAAGATGGCCGAGTTCGTATCACACAACCCTACCATTTTTGAGGAGCTAGGAAGATACCTCAAAAGACAGGGGAAAGAAAAGGCCGAGTCCTCCAAGAGGAGGCCGACGAAGTCCCCTGAGGTACCTTCAGGTGAAGACTCAGATGAGGGGCGACTCTCTCGGAGTACCTCCAGGCGCGCCTCCTCCAAGGCGACGTCTAAACTTGCCTCCATCTCCCGGGCGTTTTCTCGGGGACTGCTGGGGAAACGAGCTGAGGACCCACCTCGGCGCCCCGGGGGCCTAGCTTCTGAGTACATGAGGGCTCCGCCCTTTACTGATGACATCAATGGGGAGATGGTTCCCCCGAACTTCAAGCTCCCAAACTTGCACACTTATGACGGCCGAGGTGACCCCGAGGATCACCTCCGCGCCTTCATCTCTGCCTTCCGACTCTACTGCGTCCCCGACGCCGTGATATGCCGGGCTTTCCCCATCTTCCTACATGAGACTGCCCGCAAGTGGTTCTGGAGTTTAGAGCCGGGGAGTATTTCCTCCCTGGATGAACTGATAGACCGGTTCATCCACCGCTTCGTGTCGTCCCGACCGATAACCAAGACTTCAGCTTACCTCTTGAACCTGCAACAGGGTCAGGGCGAGTCCCTTCGCTCGTATACTCAAAGGTTCAACGAGGAGAATGTGCAGATACCTGACCAGAACGAGCAGGTAACTATCGCGGCCTTTACCAACGGATTGGTGGCGGGAATCTTCAACACTGAAATCCATCGGGAGTACCCCCGTACACTTCGGGAACTCTGGGATAGAGTGGACCAGGGAATCCGAAGTGAGGATGTGAACCGCATGAAGCGAGAAGCCCAAGCATCTCGTACGGGGCAAGATCTCCGGAGAAGGAAAGACACTGGCCGAGGTGAACCCGGCCCAAGTAGCACTTCAAACCCACTCCGAGACCGCAGGACTGTCTTCGACCGGATCGTGAGAGGCCGGTCGTCCACCTCGGACGCTGAGCTGACACCGCTCAATTCCAGCCGATCTCATGTCTTGGCTGTAATGAGGCAGAACCACCTCGGCCGAACACTTCCTGAGATCTCTGGGAGGAGAGATAAGAGGAACTCCAACCTCTACTGCGCCTACCACCGAGACGTTGGGCACGAGACTGAAGATTGCAACGATCTGAAGCGAGAGATCGAAAACCTGATCCGACAAGGATACCTGAAGCAGTTCATCCGCAAAGATGGGAGCTTCAACCGAAGTGCCTCCCACCGGGAGAGCCGAGGTCCTCGCCAAGAGGACAGGCGGGACACCAAGCTTAATTGCCGAGGTCCTGAGGACCGCAAGGGAGATCAGAGGCCTCCACGTGACGGATCACCAGGCTACGGCCCAAACATAGCCGGGGTGATCAACACCATCTCAGGTGGCCCCACGGGAGGAGACAGCCAGAACTCCCGAAAGCGGACCTACCGCTAAGCCGGCATGGAGGTGGCCGAGCCGAGCTCGAGGCTGTCCGAGGTGATAACCTATGGTCCCCGTGACCCTGTCCCCGCCGCCTCCAGCAATCACGAGACCCTAGTGATTGAGGTCCTCACAAATAACTACATAGTCAAAAAGGTCTACGTTGACCCCGGAAGCTCGGTAGACGTCATGTACTACCGAACTTTCGAGAGTTTGAAATTGACCCGGGAGCAACTCACTCCGGTCAGAACTCCCCTTGTCGGCTTCGGGGGACACGTCGTCCACACGGAGGGCATGGTGAATTTAACGATGACTATCGGGCGTCATCCCCGTTGCCGAACTGTGCCTGTCAGCTTTGCGGTGGTCAAAGCGGACTCTCCTTACAACATGCTGATAGGCCGGCCCACGCTCAATGCCTTGAGAGCTGTGTACTCAACCTACCACTTGAGCTTCAAATTCCCAACACCTGCGGGGGTGGCCGAGGTAAGCAGCGACGTGGGCGCCGCCCGAGAATGCTACCTCGCCACCATCCAAGCTGCAGTCGGACCTCAGCCCCCGCCGAGGTCAGAAGAAAAGAGGCCGGCTGTCCTCTCCATAGACTGCATCGACCCTCACAAGGCAGGAGAGCCCAGCAGGCTTGAGCCCGGGGATAAGGTGGAACAAGTGGTTTTGGATAAAGCCAAACCCGACCAAGTGGTCCAAGTAGGGGCCGGACTCCCCTCACCCCTGAAAGAGGAAATGATCTCCCTGATCAAGGACCACCGAGACATCTTCGCGTGGTCCGCAGATGAAGTGGTCGGAGTGCCACCCGAGCTCATGATTCATCAACTTAACGTCAACCCACAGGCACGACCTGTGCGGCAGAAACGGAGGCACTTCGGCCCCGAGCGTAGCAAGGCCATATCGGATGAGGTCGATAAGCTCTTGCCGGCCAAGATGATTCACGAGGTCCAATATCCCACCTGGCTGTCCAATCCAGTTATGGTCAAAAAGGACACCGGTGGATGGAGAATGTGTGTAGACTTCACCGACCTCAACAAGGCCTGCCACAAAGATTGCTATCCCCTGCCAAGGATAGACGCCCTCGTCGACTCGGCGATGGGGTATGAAGTCCTCTGCTTCCTAGATGCCTTCAAAGGGTATCATCAAATAGGAATGAATGAAGAGGACCAAGAGAAAACGGCGTTCTACACCGACCAAGGTACTTATTGTTATACTACCATGCCATTCGGGCTAAAGAACGCCGGGGCGACCTACCAGAGATTGATCAATCGCCTCTTCAAAAACCAGATCGGCTGCAATGTGGAGGCCTACGTGGACGACATCCTTGTCAAGAGCCAGGCCACTTCGGCCTTTCTATCCGATTTGAGGGAAGTCTTCGGCATCCTGCGGGATTCGAGGATGAAATTGAATCCAAAGAAGTGCGTCTTCGGCGTCACCTCCGGAAAATTCTTGGGGTATTTGGTTTCCCGCCGGGGAATCGAGGCCAATCCCGACAAGGTCAAGGCCATTCAAGATATGTCCCCACCTCGGAACGTCCGAGAAGTCTAAAGGTTGAATGGACGCCTGGCCGCGCTGAATCGCTTCCTGTCCCAATTCGCCGAGAAAGCTCTGCCCTTCTTTAAGGTGCTAAAAAAGGCTGACCAGTTCGCCTGGACTGAGGAGTGTCAGGCTGCTTTCGACCAGCTGAAGCAGTACTTGCATCATCTACCCACCCTTGCTTCACCTCGGCCCGAGAAAAAGCTCTACCTCTACCTCTCTGCAGCCGACGAGGCTGTCAGCGCTGTGCTCATCCGAGATGAGGGCACCCAAGTGCCGGTCTACTACGTCAGCCGAGCTCTTGGCGGGCCGGAGACTCGATACACTCAGGTGGAAAAATTGGTGCTGGGACTAGTCCACGCAGCTCGGCGGTTGAAGCCCTACTTCTTAGCCCATCCTATCTCGGTCAGGACTGACCAGCCCATTCGGCAAATATTGGTGCGACCCGAAGCTTCTGGTCGCCTCACCAAGTGGGCTGTCGAATTGGGAGAATATGACTTGTCCTACGAGCGACGCACCGCCATAAAAGCTCAAGCTTTGGCTGACTTCCTTGCTGAGCTCACCTTCACGGAAGGTCCGGAGTCCACCTCAGCCTTAGCCGAGGTGTCCACCTCATCCCTGTGGACATTGTATGTCGATGGATCCTCTAATAGAGACGGCTGCGGAGCCGGACTGCTCCTGGAAGGACCTCAGGGGGAGGTGTGCTCGTACGCCCTCCGTTTTGACTTCCCGGCCACCAACAATGAAGCCGAGTACGAGGCTCTAATCGCTGGACTCCAGCTAGCCCGCAAGCTCGGCGCTCAGCAAATCCACGTCCGCAGTGACTCCCAGCTCGTGGTACGCCAAGTTCTCGGTGAATACGAGGCTAAGGATGAGACCATGCAAAGGTACCTCTCCAAAGTTCACCAACTCACCGCATACTTCGAGTCATTCGAAATCCAAAGAATCCCCCGGTCCCAGAATAAGCGAGCCGACGCCTTATCCCGGCTGGCCTCCACTTCATTCTCTGACCTCAACAAAACGGTCTTAGTGGAAGTTCTGAGTGAACCCGGATATGTGGAAGAGGAGGCCTGCCCCGTGCACTCCGAAGATACCTGGATGACCCCGTTCATCCTCTTCTTGAGTCAGGGAACACTCCCTGAAGACCGAGCCGAGGCGAGAAGGATACAACGCAAGGCGGCTCGGTACGCTCTCCGCAATGGAGAACTATACAAACGCTCTTACCTCGACCCATGGCTGAGGTGTGTCACTCCCGAGGCCGGACGTCACGTCCTCCACGAGATCCACGAAGGCCTGTGCGGAGCTCACGTCGGCCACAGGATGTTAGCCAAGAAGACTATGCTCCATGGATATTTCTGGCCGTCACTTCGGCAAGACTCCCAGGACCTCGTTCTCGGCTGTCCTTCCTGCCAAGTCCACGCACCCGAGCATCACCAGCCCTCAAATTTCATGGTCCCCATCACTTCACCTTGGCCATTCGAGCAATGGGGGACAGATATCATAGGTCCTTTCCCTAAAGCCGTCGGGGGTTATACCTTCCTAGTGACCGCTGTGGACTACTTCACTAAGTGGGTCGAGGCCGAGCCACTTCGGACCATCTCGGGTCTAGCCATCCAAAAATTCTTTTGGAAATGCATTGTCTGCCGCTTCGGCATACCTCAGATCATCATCTCGGACAATGGGAGACAATTTGCCGAGAACCCGTTCAAGACTTGGTGCGAGAACCTCAGCATCAAACAACACTTCACTTCGGTAGGCCACCCTCAGGCCAATGGTCAAGCAGAAAACTTCAACCGGACTCTCCTGCATGGCCTCAAGACCCGACTACACCGAGTTGGGTCATCTTGGGTGGAGGAACTCCCCAGTGTCTTGTGGTCGTATCGGACCACGCCGAGGTCAGCGACGCAAGAGACCCCATTCTCCCTGACCTACGGCGCCGAGGCTGTCATCCCGGCTGAAATCCTTACCCCCAGTCCTCGGCTGGCAGCGTATGCCGCCGAGGTGAACGATGAAAAGAGGCAGCTGGACCTCGACCTTGTCGAAGAACGAAGGGATCTCGCCTCAGCCCGGATAACTTCATACAAGAACACACTGGCACACTATTACAATGCCCGTGTCAGACATCGTAGATTCCGTCCTGGAGACTTGGTTCTCAGGAAAAATTCAGTTAGCCGAGCTGAGCCGCAAGGGAAATTATGCCCGAAATGGGAAGGCCCTTACCGAGTTGTGGAATCTGACGCTAAGGGGTATTGTAAACTGAGCTACCGAGATGGCTCATTAGTGCCGAGGTCTTGGCACGCCGAGAACCTTAGGTTGTATTATGCTTGAAGTTATGACTTCATTCAATTATTTCATCAAAGTTGACTTTATCCAGTTATCTTGTCAAGTTATGACTTCGGCTATTATGTTATTTTTCAACATCGTTATTACGCAGTTAAAAAATAAGGGGGACAAGCAAGGGAAGAAGTCAAAACAAGAAATTGAAATGCTGAGAACAGAAGGAATAGATTTCATTCAACAGAAAAGAGCGTTACAAAAAATACAAGGCCGAGGTCCGAATGCTACTAAGCACTCTCCACCTCGACCACCCCCTCGAAGCCTATGAGCCTAGACCCCCGTCTCGGCTCCATTCCCGGTCTTGGCTCCCTCCTGGGCAGCCTCTTCTTCGGCCTCTTTTCCGCCGGGGTGTTCATCTCCATGCTCTTTGCCGATGTCCCCTCCGACTTCGTCCCCGGCGGCTTCGTCTCCCTCAGCGTCCTCTCCTCCAACTTCTTCTACTTCCACCTCCTCGAACACAACGTCGAGTTCGGACAGCCACTTGTTGAACTCGACCTGGACTTCGGCCAAATTCCTTCCTGCCTGAATGCCTTCGCCCATCCGATCACATAACTCCTTGGAGTTCTCATTGTAACTGTCATGGTTTTTCAAAGACTCCAAGGCTTCGGAGGAGAGGTGAGCCGCAGCCTCATTAATGGCCGATGTGAAGCCAAACATGAAGTTAGGCGTAAGCAGTTGGCCGAGGTCCTTGATGAAGGCATCGGACCTTCGAAACGCGTCCACTGCCGAGGCTCCAGCACCCTCGAGAGCTTGTGCGTGGGACTTCTTCACTTCGTCCCCCCTCTTCTGCTCCTCCTCGAGGGCTGATCTGAGACTATTCATCGTAGCCTCGTCCTCCTCACTCTTAGTTTCAGCCTCTTGAAGTCGCCTCTGAAGCTCCGACTTCTCGGATTCGGACACCGCCAGTTGTTTCTCCAACTTGGAGATCTGAGTCTGCAGCTTGCCGGTGTCCTGCTCCTCGACCAGAGCACAGTATCTGTGAGCCATCTCGGCCGCAAAAGCTGAATTGGAAGTCGTGGTCACCATCAGACTTTGAACCAGCTCGGCCGGACTTAGTTTTTTCATGAACTCCATATCCCTTAGCAGAGTGGAGTGCATTACTAGCTCTTGAGCGACCCGAGAATGTTGGCACCTGTCGTTGACCGAAATCTTCCAGTTCGGACACCAATGATTGCCGGAGTGCGTCTTCTCGTCTCCGGGAAACACTGGGGGGCTATGGAAACGATTCCATAGCGAGGTCCCCGACACCGGATTAACTGGAGGCTTCAGCTGCTTGCCTCGGCCAGAAGGAGGTGTGACTGTTGTAACAACTCCAAGGGGAACTCCCTCTGGTACAGACGAGGTGGACCCAGTAGCCGCAGTGGCCGAGCTGCTCTGACCAACCTTGGTGGGAGTGCCTTTAGGCGCCGAAGTCTTAGCGGCTGGTCCTTGTGACTTCTTCTTCTTTGGCGGAGGTGCTGAGGTCTCGTCAGTGCTCATCCTCTTCTGCCTCTTGGCCACTTCGGACGAGCCAGAGACGACGAGGTCGGACAGTTTAGTCACTGCACAAGAAATAAATATTATCATATGCCTTAACCGAAGTGAAAGCAAAGGTACGAAAGAAAAATTACAAGGTATCTCAAGTTCAGTGGAAAAGAAGGGAGGCTTGGTAGTATTGATCACGGCTCGACTTATCCCCCCATCCACGAGCACGGCTTCGGGGTAATCATGGCTGAACAGCCGAAGTCCCGACTTCATCAACTTCTGGAAGGATTCCTCTTCGGCATCCCCCGCCGAGGGGTCGGCCTTCGCCTTAATTGACCTCCACCAAAAACCCCTCGGGAAGTCCACTCCGGACACGAAGAAGTAGTCGCGCTTCCAGTTCTTGATCGAGCTGGGAGCACCGATCACCAACTTCGGGATGGCATTGTTTCGATTGCCAACATAAAACCATCCTTTATCCGTCCCGTGCCCCTTGAGAGTATAGCATCGGCGGAAGAAGTCGACGGAGGGAGTCACCTCCTGATGTCGGCAAAGCATCTCGAACCCCACGATGATGCGGATCGCGTTTGGGGTGAGTTGGGTGATCCTCACACCGAAGTGACGAAGCAAATCCCTGAGGAACCTCGACGTCGGCATCCTCAGCCCGGCCTCCAGCTGTTGAATGTAGACGGCCACCATGCCGTAGGGGGGCTTCGCGGCTGTGTCATCCACCTCGGGTGGCAGAATTTCGTACCCCGGCCGGAATGAGTACTTGTTCACTACCTTCTGGGCCCTATCTCGTCCTACGTGACTCCTAAACTTCGGCATCTTGCCAAAGTCAAAGTTGGCCACATCCTTAGGAGCAACGGGCTCCAATACGTTCTCATCGTGCGGAATCTCGACGCCGAGCTCCTCGTTATAGTCCACCACGGAACTCTCTTCGCTCATCTCGGACGACTCCAACTCTGAGGCTGTCTCTCCGACCCTCACCTCGGTCGACCCCTCTGAACTCGGTGTTGACCCCTCCGAGCTGGATGTCGTCGCTTCTTCCTCCGGATCCGGCCTCACCTCGGTCTGGTAGCCCGGTGTCACGGTCTCCTTGTGGGTTTTAGCCGTTTTGGCCATGAGTGAAAGACGAGATAAGAAAGAAAAGGGATATTTACTATTGTCTACGGAACTGGACGAAGTGGATGACTTCGGCTGTGACTTCGGCTGGCAGGATTGATCTCGGCAACAGACGTAAATTTGGCAAGTCCCAGGCAGAGGAAGAAAATGATGGGCCATGCGGTGAAAAGGACCCCCTATTTATAGGGGAGGGCCAGAACCCGAAGAGGCAGCCAGAATACGGAAAGGCGGCAACTCTTCGCCCTTCTGTCTCTCTCTCTTCATTAATGCCCCGTCCTTTCGGCTGACACCCACTGCACGAAACGTCCCACTACTTCACGACGCGACGGTTACCAGTGACCACGTCCTATCAACTGACTCGCCCACGTGTCGCGTCCCCGCATCTTCCGGAGCGATTTCGGGACCTCGACTCTTCATGACTTCAGCACAAGGAAGCCTCGGCACCTCCCTTGCTCGGAGCATCCGAGGCTTGGGGGGCTTATTGAGGATGCTCACCTCGGCCATCCCGAGTGGCCGAGGTGAACTCACCTCGTCCCTCATCAGAGCTCATCCGTGTCCCGGGCATCATCCCTGAGCTCAACCAGGTCCCTAGTCTACCGTGTAGCCGACCTCGGCACCCCCACCTCAGCTGCACGCTGATGATGTCAAGCCACCTGACATCACCCAGGACCAGTGCTTTATCTGAAAAGCACTGGAGGCACTTAATGGCACCTGCACAATACTCCCCGTCATCATGCTCAGGCAGCTACAGTGTCAGAGTCAGACCTCCTGACACGGGACAGAGCCGTAATGACCAGAGGGTGGGTCCCACCAGCATAAGCCCTCCGCTCTGTCCTCTACTCTCCCTCTATAAATATCCCAGACACACTCCCAACAAGTAAGCCTACACTGTTCATTAACTCATATTCTCATTATTCTCGTTCTCATACTAACTTGATCGTCGGAGTGATCCCAGGGGAGAAGCCCCGCCACTCACTTCGGACAAGGAGGTTCACTTCGGACACAGGAGTTCACCTCACTTCTTCTCAGAGAGGACTGATCCAGGTCGATTTAGTTACCAACCAAAAATCACCTCTTCATCCTCCTCCAAAAATCAGCCAAAAGGAAATAGAACACGAACACTATGTTTTCGATCTCAAGCCAAAGATCCTCTCTACTGAATTCTACTTGGCTAACTTCTTAATTGATTGGTCTCCTGCTACTAATCAAATTCCTAAAAAGTCCTATTTCAATTTAGTTTCCTAAAAGCTCTCCAATTGCTTGAGACTGACGTGGATTGCCAAAGAATAGGAAACTTCAGCAGTCGTCAATTTTTGGAATTTGACTTGGATTGGGAAAGTGTCCGATGTTAGGAAATTGCCAATTTCTAGTTTTGAACCTTGAACTTTGGCGTCCTATGTGCAAATCGTTAGGAATCCTCCAATTAAGCCTTTTTCGCTCCAATTTCTGAAATTAATACAAAAATACCAATTATCGGAAAACAGTCAAATAAGGTGATATCTAGTATAAATAAAAAGGAAAATATAAGCAAATATACCAACTAAATGTACCCTATCAGTATTGAAAGACCACTCAAATTATTTTGTGATAATAACTCAGCAGTCTTATATTCCAATAATAACAGGAGTTCGACAAAATCTAAATATATAGATATAAAGTTCCTAATTGTTAAAGAAAGAATATAGAGTGGACAGATATCAATAGAGCGTATCGGAACAAACTCCATGGTTGCGGATCCGCTAACTAAGGGATTGTCACCCAAAATGTTTCATGAGTATACTGTTCATATGGGTATCATGTTATTAAATGATGTGCAGTTTTAGTAGGAGTTTGTTATTTTGAAATGCTCTTGCAATATTATATTTTTGGTTATTAATGTCTTAAGGATATTTAATGCATAAATAAAGTTTGAATTCATTTACATTCTAATTTTGGTATAAATTGATTTCATGAAAATTTAAGATGGACCGTTGGAAATAGTCATATTACGATTATATTACATGAAATTTTTATGCTACACATCCACATCGTGATTCATGTCATTCAATTGCATCAATATATGTGACCATTAATAGGTCGAGTTATGAAAATTGTAGCAAAGGCCGCTTTGATCCTATGTTGGTGTAATTGATGGACCGAATTGGCTATAGATACATTTTAGTAAATAATAGTAAAGTTGAGCTCATGCAGTTTATTGCAAAACATAATTATAAGGTTACACATATAGTCTAAATGGGAGATTATTGGATCCTTAATCCAACGTTGGACCTATATCTGAATAATTATGTGATGCAATTGTCAAATAAGGCTAAGTCCAATTAAAGTGATCAAATATGATTTGAGCTTAATATATCTAACACGATGTGGGCCTTTAATGTGTAGAGATTTAAGAGTATTTTCTATTT